ATTGATGACTTTTTTTTTCATAGATATTTATAAATGTATACCATTATATAGGTATACGGTAGGAGATTTTCTCTTTTGATATACATATTTTTCGTCCAATTTTATGATTGAAGTAATAATCTTTTTCTTAAATTAAAATAATTATTTCACCAATTTTACCTTTTAGGTGAAATTTTTAAATTTAACTTCTTTCGATTTCACCGTATTTTTTATTTTAACCATTTTTAAATTAAAATAATTATGTATAATAATAAATTATCTACAAAATATAAAAACTTTATAAAATTGTAAAAATTTATTTATAATTGTTTTTATGATAGTAATCTTTTTGTTGTTATAAAAAAAACATATATACACGCAAATATTTTCACTAGTATTAAGATTAAAAATTCCTCACTATAACGTTTTTGTAACCATAGTGATAGAATTTATTATCAATTTTACTCTTATCATAACTTGTTTAATTAACTTTATTATTTATACAAATTTTTTATTATAAATAATAATAATAATATTTAAATACTACATAATTCTAACATTACAATAATAACTTTCAATCTTAACTTCACTAAACAAATCATGTAATTTTTGTAGTTGATTTTATTTAATAAAATAAAACTTTGTTGTTCATGTATTATGAAATCATTCACAGTTTTAAACAATTTTTCTCTTACAAGTGTGAATAATTTATCAAAAAGAAAAGGCTAATACAACTTAGTTATATATATAAAAAATGGAATGCACGAGATTTGTATATATATACATTGATAAAGAATGTAAAGATTAAAGCATATAGTAGGAGAGGACCCTTTCTTTCTAAACTCATGAATCTCTCCGCCTCCCTTCCTTTTCTCCTTTCTCCCCTCCATAACCATTCCCTTTTCTCTCTCTCATATTCAACTGCTCCTTCTTTTAAGCTTCGTCATGCATGTTTCCATACATTAAAGTTTTCACATCTTCTTCTAAAAAAGAGAGGGCAATTTAGATTTCCTCCTTCAGATTCTTCATTTCCTTTTTTGCATGCATACAACATCCAATACAATACTCCACACTTTCTAGTTGCACAATATTAACATTAACAATAACATTAAACCATCCCTACATATCAATATCATCGTCATGGGTCGTGTTAAACTCGAGATAAAGAGAATAGAGAATCCCGTCAATCGACAAGTTACATTCTCAAAACGTAGAAATGGCCTTATCAAGAAAGCTTATGAGCTTTCAATCCTGTGTGACATTGATATTGCAGTCATAATGTTTTCGCCTTCGGGTCGTGTTAACCATTTTTCTGGTCGGAGGAGGTACGCATGTTGTCATTTCCTTAATTACGTTGATTTCATATGAAAACGTTGGTGCATGTCAAGGTTTGGTTGTTCCATACTAGAATGCATTCCAAGGTTTTAAGCCCGTGAAAACAATTGCTAATAACTTTTACGATATTGATTTGGAGAACATGAAATCTATTATGAAATGGCGCATAGTTTCGTAGTTAGTTAGGTTTTTGTTTGTTCTTGTTTAGACTGTTAATGTTTGTTTTACTTTTTCACCGAATGGCTCTATACCCTGGAAATTGGGATCTTGACCATCATATTTTATTTTATTTTTTTCATTTTTCAAAGTTAAACCTTCACAATTTATATAGCAAAGAAGCAACTAATATTATTATCCCAACAAACTCAAATACCAAGTAGTTAAATTTTTCCAGAAAAAGGGGCAGGTTATGCAAAGTTTAAGAGCTAAATCACGTAGCTTTTTAAATTAATTTCCTTAATGGAAATATTTACCATCGCTTTTGATAGATTGAAATATAGTATAGAATTAACTAAACCTTATATGTCATTTATTATTTAACTAGCTTTTGAAGTATCTGGATTTAAATATGATTGCTACCATTTATTATTATTATTTTATTAAAGGTGTCTTCTTGGTTTTTTAAAAAGAGTTATAATCATATTGTTACTATTATCAGAATTGAGGATGTTTTTACTCGCTACATTAATCTTCCAGACCAAGAAAGAGATAAGTAAGTTATAAACATGCAACTTGATATTTTTCATTCGAAAGGGTGCTGGTTATAATTTTTTCCTTTTTTTTTATCACGTTCTTCACTTTTAATTATTATATGTTTCATGCAGTGCTGTAAGTTTTCCAGAACTACCATACCGCAGGTATATATCTCTCAAGAACACCTTTTTTTTTCTTTTTCTTTTGTTTTTTACTTTCTCTACTTCTCATTATTTTATTTGTAATATAATACTTAATAGTATTTGTTCAGTGCATTAATTAGTTTCTTATTTACTTATTGCAGGGGTATTCAGAATAAGGAGGTATTTTCATTCATGTATTGTAAATAATTTAGTTCAATAAAAGCTAATCATTTTAATAGTCTTTCATATAAATTACAGAAAGAGTTTATACAAACACAATAAATGACTTTCAAGAGTCTAATCGTAACTGCTAATGCTTTATAGGATTGAATTATCTCAATTAAATTTCTTAAAATTTCCTCTAAACACCTCCCAATTAAAATTTACTTTGGTTGTTCTTTCTTCCAAACCTCGCTACTTCAATAAATGTTCCCTTTGTAGTATTTGCTAAGGACACTTCAGCAACTGAGGAATGAAAATGACATAGCTCTTCAACTGGCCAAGTTCGTATAATGTTAAATATTTTAAAAATCCAATTATTTTCTTAAGAATATTTTGGAAGGTGTAATTGTGCTAATTTTTGTTTTTTTCCTTTCCCACTGTTTCATCTACTGCATCAACAAGTCCGGGAGACATTAACTCTGAGATTGAGGTAAGAAAACCATGCAGTTGCTCTAAATTTTCTCTTCCAACCATGGTGACAAAAATCACTACCCAACGTAAATTCATCAATTTGCAGCACATAAACCAAAATGAAATAAAAAAAAGAATTACAATAAGAACACATTTTCAATAATCTTTCAAAATGTTGAAAATTTCTTCTTCATTTTATAGGAACTCCAACAAGAAGTTAATAGGCTACAACAGCAACTTCAAATGGCCGAAGAGCAGATAAGGTTCCTTGACAATAAAAATACAATAAGTTATGCTTACTTTCCTTTTAAGTACTTATTTATTTATTTTCTATTTTTCAATAATGAACACAGGTTATATGAACCCGACTCATTAAAGATGTCGTCAATGGCCGATCTTGAAAACAGTGAAAAACACCTTTTAGATGTCTTGACACGAGTCATGCAGAGAAAGGTTGCTAATATGCTTTATATCAGTCTTTTTCTCTTTTGTTAAAATTGAAATTTTTATTTGAAAAAAAGAATATATGAAGGGAGTATTTAGGCTATCTAATATGTATACGGCAGTGTAGTTTATGAAAGAAAGATGATTACAATTAACAATTTGAATCTAAGGGTACATCTCGAAGAGTTTCACCTGTACATATAGTTTTCCTTCAAAATAGTGTGGAGTAGTAGGATAAATCCCACTGATAAATATCAAACTATTTATATGTATATATATTGGCAAAAAAAAAATATGCATAAATAGTTATACTTGAATTTCTCAATCCCGTTAGTATATTGAGGTTGTGAGAAGAATAATTTATAGATATAGAAAATATGGAGATAATAGAATTTGAAAGTAGTAGTTGAAATAAGTATATTTTGTAGTTATCTTAGTTATGATAGATGTTGCCTTTCATTAAATGGTAGAGTATATGAGTATTTATAGACAGATAGATTATTCTAGAAAATGGTAGCCACAACTTATGTAGAGTTTTAAATTTTTACCTATATAAAATGTTCTTGATGTTTTTCTTCCTATATTAGGTTTTCCTACAATATTTTAGAATTTTTTTTATTACATTTTAATACTTCTATCTTAAGATTTTCTATATCTTCTAGAATTTGCATTACACTTTAATACTCCTTCTTAATGCAAATTCGATAACTTCAAGCATAATGTGTAGTAGTTCAAATCTTGGTCTTGGTAACACCTTCATCAAAATACCTACAATTTGATCTTTTGTTGGGTCAAATTTATTTAGTTGTCTTTTCATTTCGAATGAAGTGGTATTTAATGGCTGAGTTTTGTTCTGTAATGATGAAGTGAATTTTTTGTTATTGTTATTGTCGATTTGTTGTCGTAATAGATAATAGTCAGCCCATCTTGTGGTTCACCCATTTCTTCAAGTATTCTTCCTGGCCATATTGCTTGACTCGTGGTTTCAACAGCCGCTACATACTCTACATACTCTGCTTCTATTGTTGATTGTACCATGATTGCTTGCTTCTTTTATGCCCAAGATAAAATAATTGATCCTAGTAGAAAGTGTAACCTAAGTACTATTCATGTCGTCAATTGATCCTGCCTAATCACTATCTATGTAATCAATCATCCTTGAGTTAGTCAAATTTTTGTACCATGTACCAAACTTCTTTGTGTCTTGCAGGTATCTTAAAATTATTTTTCCTACTCTATAATGAATCTAACTTGGCTTTTGCATGAATCTTCATAGAAGACGTGTAGCATACATAATGTTTGGTCGTTGTTGAGATACATAAGACTTTTAATCAAACTCTTGTAGCGTGATGCATCTGCTTCTTATGCACCATCATCTTTTTGTAGCTTATCGTTTACCACCAATGGAGTAGCAACACGTTTACAATCATACATCTTGAACTTCTTTAATAAATCTTCAATATATTTATTTTGAGAGATAAATATACCTTTTTNTTTAAACTGTTGAAAAATAATGAAATTGCTTGAACGAAACAAAAAGTTCTTCAAATAATAAAATATTAAAGACAAAAAAGAATGATTTTTACCTAATAAATAATGGTCTTACGCAATTAAACACCTGAATATATATATTCCAAGTTAATGAAAAAATAATTATAAATATTTTAATAATTAAATATGAATGAAATGAAGATGAAGATAGTTAAATATTTTTCGATAAAACGGAAACGGATTCACAAAATATCTATGGAGACGAATTCATTTGCCATTTATTATTAGAATAACATATTGATGACTTTTTTTTTCATAGATATTTATAAATGTATACCATTATATAGGTATACGGTAGGAGATTTTCTCTTTTGATATACATATTTTTCGTCCAATTTTATGATTGAAGTAATAATCTTTTTCTTAAATTAAAATAATTATTTCACCAATTTTACCTTTTAGGTGAAATTTTTAAATTTAACTTCTTTCGATTTCACCGTATTTTTTATTTTAACCATTTTTAAATTAAAATAATTATGTATAATAATAAATTATCTACAAAATATAAAAACTTTATAAAATTGTAAAAATTTATTTATAATTGTTTTTATGATAGTAATCTTTTTGTTGTTATAAAAAAAACATATATACACGCAAATATTTTCACTAGTATTAAGATTAAAAATTCCTCACTATAACGTTTTTGTAACCATAGTGATAGAATTTATTATCAATTTTACTCTTATCATAACTTGTTTAATTAACTTTATTATTTATACAAATTTTTTATTATAAATAATAATAATAATATTTAAATACTACATAATTCTAACATTACAATAATAACTTTCAATCTTAACTTCACTAAACAAATCATGTAATTTTTGTAGTTGATTTTATTTAATAAAATAAAACTTTGTTGATCATGTATTATGAAATCATTCACAGTTTTAAACAATTTTTCTCTTACAAGTGTGAATAATTTATCAAAAAGAAAAGGCTAATACAACTTAGTTATATATATAAAAAATGGAATGCACGAGATTTGTATATATATACATTGATAAAGAATGTAAAGATTAAAGCATATAGTAGGAGAGGACCCTTTCTTTCTAAACTCATGAATCTCTCCGCCTCCCTTCCTTTTCTCCTTTCTCCCCTCCATAACCATTCCCTTTTCTCTCTCTCATATTCAACTGCTCCTTCTTTTAAGCTTCGTCATGCATGTTTCCATACATTAAAGTTTTCACATCTTCTTCTAAAAAAGAGAGGGCAATTTAGATTTCCTCCTTCAGATTCTTCATTTCCTTTTTTGCATGCATACAACATCCAATACAATACTCCACACTTTCTAGTTGCACAATATTAACATTAACAATAACATTAAACCATCCCTACATATCAATATCATCGTCATGGGTCGTGTTAAACTCGAGATAAAGAGAATAGAGAATCCCGTCAATCGACAAGTTACATTCTCAAAACGTAGAAATGGCCTTATCAAGAAAGCTTATGAGCTTTCAATCCTGTGTGACATTGATATTGCAGTCATAATGTTTTCGCCTTCGGGTCGTGTTAACCATTTTTCTGGTCGGAGGAGGTACGCATGTTGTCATTTCCTTAATTACGTTGATTTCATATGAAAACGTTGGTGCATGTCAAGGTTTGGTTGTTCCATACTAGAATGCATTCCAAGGTTTTAAGCCCGTGAAAACAATTGCTAATAACTTTTACGATATTGATTTGGAGAACATGAAATCTATTATGAAATGGCGCATAGTTTCGTAGTTAGTTAGGTTTTTGTTTGTTCTTGTTTAGACTGTTAATGTTTGTTTTACTTTTTCACCGAATGGCTCTATACCCTGGAAATTGGGATCTTGACCAGCATATTTTATTTTATTTTTTTCATTTTTCAAAGTTAAACCTTCACAATTTATATAGCAAAGAAGCAACTAATATTATTATCCCAACAAACTCAAATACCAAGTAGTTAAATTTTTCCAGAAAAAGGGGCAGGTTATGCAAAGTTTAAGAGCTAAATCACGTAGCTTTTTAAATTAATTTCCTTAATGGAAATATTTACCATCGCTTTTGATAGATTGAAATATAGTATAGAATTAACTAAACCTTATATGTCATTTATTATTTAACTAGCTTTTGAAGTATCTGGATTTAAATATGATTGCTACCATTTATTATTATTATTTTATTAAAGGTGTCTTCTTGGTTTTTTAAAAAGAGTTATAATCATATTGTTACTATTATCAGAATTGAGGATGTTTTTACTCGCTACATTAATCTTCCAGACCAAGAAAGAGATAAGTAAGTTATAAACATGCAACTTGATATTTTTCATTCGAAAGGGTGCTGGTTATAATTTTTTCCTTTTTTTTTATCACGTTCTTCACTTTTAATTATTATATGTTTCATGCAGTGCTGTAAGTTTTCCAGAACTACCATACCGCAGGTATATATCTCTCAAGAACACCTTTTTTTTTCTTTTTCTTTTGTTTTTTACTTTCTCTACTTCTCATTATTTTATTTGTAATATAATACTTAATAGTATTTGTTCAGTGCATTAATTAGTTTCTTATTTACTTATTGCAGGGGTATTCAGAATAAGGAGGTATTTTCATTCATGTATTGTAAATAATTTAGTTCAATAAAAGCTAATCATTTTAATAGTCTTTCATATAAATTACAGAAAGAGTTTATACAAACACAATAAATGACTTTCAAGAGTCTAATCGTAACTGCTAATGCTTTATAGGATTGAATTATCTCAATTAAATTTCTTAAAATTTCCTCTAAACACCTCCCAATTAAAATTTACTTTGGTTGTTCTTTCTTCCAAACCTCGCTACTTCAATAAATGTTCCCTTTGTAGTATTTGCTAAGGACACTTCAGCAACTGAGGAATGAAAATGACATAGCTCTTCAACTGGCCAAGTTCGTATAATGTTAAATATTTTAAAAATCCAATTATTTTCTTAAGAATATTTTGGAAGGTGTAATTGTGCTAATTTTTGTTTTTTTCCTTTCCCACTGTTTCATCTACTGCATCAACAAGTCCGGGAGACATTAACTCTGAGATTGAGGTAAGAAAACCATGCAGTTGCTCTAAATTTTCTCTTCCAACCATGGTGACAAAAATCACCACCAAACGTAAATTCATCAATTTGAAGCACATAAACCAAAATGAAATAAAAAAAAGAATTACAATAAGAACACATTTTCAATAATCTTTCAAAATGTTGAAAATTTCTTCTTCATTTTATAGGAACTCCAACAAGAAGTTAATAGGCTACAACAGCAACTTCAAATGGCCGAAGAGCAGATAAGGTTCCTTGACAATAAAAATACAATAAGTTATGCTTACTTTCCTTTTAAGTACTTATTTATTTATTTTCTATTTTTCAATAATGAACACAGGTTATATGAACCCGACTCATTAAAGATGTCGTCAATGGCCGATCTTGAAAACAGTGAAAAACACCTTTTAGATGTCTTGACACGAGTCATGCAGAGAAAGGTTGCTAATATGCTTTATATCAGTCTTTTTCTCTTTTGTTAAAATTGAAATTTTTATTTGAAAAAAAGAATATATGAAGGGAGTATTTAGGCTATCTAATATGTATACGGCAGTGTAGTTTATGAAAGAAAGATGATTACAATTAACAATTTGAATCTAAGGGTACATCTCGAAGAGTTTCACCTGTACATATAGTTTTCCTTCAAAATAGTGTGGAGTAGTAGGATAAATCCCACTGATAAATATCAAACTATTTATATGTATATATATTGGCAAAAAAAAAATATGCATAAATAGTTATACTTGAATTTCTTAATCCCGTTAGTATATTGAGGTTGTGAGAAGAATAATTTATAGATATAGAAAATATGGAGATAATAGAATTTGAAAGTAGTAGTTGAAATAAGTATATTTTGTAGTTATCTTAGTTATGATAGATGTTGCCTTTCATTAAATGGTAGAGTATATGAGTATTTATAGACAGATAGATTATTCTAGAAAATGGTAGCCACAACTTATGTAGAGTTTTAAATTTTTACCTATATAAAATGTTCTTGATGTTTTTCTTCCTATATTAGGTTTTCCTACAATATTTTAGAATTTTTTTTATTACATTTTAATACTTCTATCTTAAGATTTTCTATATCTTCTAGAATTTGCATTACACTTTAATACTCCTTCTTAATGCAAATTCGATAACTTCAAGCATAATGTGTAGTAGTTCAAATCTTGGTCTTGGTAACACCTTCATCAAAATACCTACAATTTGATCTTTTGTTGGGTCAAATTTATTTAGTTGTCTTTTCATTTCGAATGAAGTGGTATTTAATGGCTGAGTTTTGTTCTGTAATGATGAAGTGAATTTTTTGTTATTGTTATTGTCGATTTGTTGTCGTAATAGATAATAGTCTGCCCATCTTGTGGTTCACCCATTTCTTCAAGTATTCTTCCTGGCCATATTGCTTGACTCGTGGTTTCAACAGCCGCTACATACTCTACATACTCTGCTTCTATTGTTGATTGTACCATGATTGCTTGCTTCTTTTATGCCCAAGATAAAATAATTGATCCTAGTAGAAAGTGTAACCTAAGTACTATTCATGTCGTCAATTGATCCTGCCTAATCACTATCTATGTAATCAATCATCCTTGAGTTAGTCAAATTTTTGTACCATGTACCAAACTTCTTTGTGTCTTGCAGGTATCTTAAAATTATTTTTCCTACTCTATAATGAATCTAACTTGGCTTTTGCATGAATCTTCATAGAAGACGTGTAGCATACATAATGTTTGGTCGTTGTTGAGATACATAAGACTTTTAATCAAACTCTTGTAGCGTGATGCATCTGCTTCTTATGCACCATCATCTTTTTGTAGCTTATCGTTTACCACCAATGGAGTAGCAACACGTTTACAATCATACATCTTGAACTTCTTTAATAAATCTTCAATATATTTATTTTGAGAGATAAATATACCTTTTTTTTTTTGTTTCACCTCTATACTGATGAAATAGTTCATTAATCCAAGGCCAGTCATCTCTAATGTCTTCATCATGTCTTCTTTAAATTCTTTCATCATCTTCATATTGTTTACTGTATAGGTAAGATCATCGACATATAAGGAGCAATGAGATGATATTGACCTTGTGTCTTAATATATAGTGTTGACACACTTTTTCTCCTGAATCCTTGATTAATGAAGTAGTGATAAATCTTGCTTTACCATGCTTAAGGAGCTTGCTTCATTGCCTTTGTTGATGAAGCCTTGTGGTTGTTCAACATAAATATCTTCCTCAAGCACTCCATTTAAAAAGTCTGATTTGGCATCTAATTGATAAATGTTCCATCCTTTTCTTTTCTACAAGAGCTATTAAAACTCTAATTGTATCTAAGCGGGCAACTTGAGCAAATGTCTCGTTGTAGTCAATTTTTGGTTGTTGTACGTAGCCTTTAGCGTTTTTCCTTGTGCTTTTATATAGTTCCATTAGGATTGAGTTTTGTTTTATATATCCTTTTCACTCCAATGATGTCTTTTCCCTAAAGGTAGTTTACGAGCTCCTAGGTTTTATTCTTCAATCATTTTAGTCTCTTCTTCCATGGCCTTTACCCATACTTCTTGCTTTGATGCTTCTTCATAATAGTTAGACTCAATCATGACCATATTGTAAATTTCGTATATGTCCACCAAAGATCTTACTTTTCTTGGAGTGGATTTAGGTGAAGAATCTTGTTTTTGTGGAGGTGGAGAAAGCATACCTAAATCTTCTTTCTTTTCTTGAGTTGCTTCTTCAGATTGTTGCATTAGAACTATAATGTTACTTTTAAAACCTTTTTCTTCTTCTCAATTCCAAGAAGCATTTTCATTAACTAGAACATCTTGACTAATGATGAGGCCTTTTGTTTGTAAGTTGTAGACTCAATATTCTTTTGACTGTGTGTTATATCTTAAGAATATTCCTCGTATTGTCTTGTCTTCAAGCTTGTGGCTCCTTTGATTATGAACATGTATATAGAAGATATATCCAAATACTCATAAGTGTTTAGCTAATAGCTTTCTTAAACTCCAAGCTTCAATAAAAGTCTTGTCTTGGATTGCCTTACTTAGACATCTTTTTATAATGTAAACTGTAGTATATACTACTTCAATCCAAAAAGTGTTAAACATACTTTTCTAGTTTAGCATTGGTCTTTCCATCTCCATGATTGTGCAATTCTTTCTCTCTGACACACTATTTTGTTCTGGAGTATATATGATTGTAAGTTGTCGCTATGCCTTCATCTTCGCAGAATTTTTCAAAATGACAAGATGTTTACTCCTTGCAACGATCACTTATATGTATTTTTATCCACTTTGCTTCTCAACAAGGGCCTTGAATTTCTTGAATACTATGAAGACTTTTAACTTTGCCTTTAAGAAATATACTCATGTCATTCTAGAGAAATCATCAGTGAAGAGGATGAAATACCTGTTGATGTGAAGGTATCATCATCGGTCCACAAACATCATTATGAATGAACTATAGTAAGTCTTTTGTTTTCCATGCTTTGTCTATTGAGAATGGTAATCAATGTTGTTTTCCAAGAAGACATCCTTCGCATGATTCATTACTCTCCTTCAAGCATGAAAAATCTCTCATCATATTCTATAATATAAAAGCTTTAAGGCTAGTTTGTTTAAGTGGACAAATCTCCAATGCCAAAGCAATGAGTCATCAACTTCTACCTTCATGACAATTTTAATTCCAGGTTTAAAGCTTATAGGAAAACTTTTATTTCACTTTTCCATTTTTTACTTGGTCAAGTACCAACTTCCTTCTCCACTAGAAGATTCTTTATTGGCATAGAATAAACATATTTCTCCTTGTTATGTTTTTCCGCAAACTTTGCCAATGGTGCCTTTTCTAACCACTTTTCTTCCAAAAACTTTATATTTTTTCCATTTCCTACATTCTATTTAACATTGTTCTCAAACCAATCACTTCCATTCCTATATCTGCATACCTCTTTTAATTACTTCCATCATCTATATTGTTTTTTGTTTTTACCTCTACCTTTCATGTCTTCATGTATTTCATATAGTTTTACTATAATAAATCTTTCCATATATATACTCTTTTATTCATTCTTTAATCTTCATATCCATATTTAGCAAGAAGAGACGCATTAAGCAAATTTAGATATTTGACTTTCGAATATCTGTTCATTTAGTTTACAAACATTCTCTCATTTAACTCATGCTATCTTTTTTTGTTTCTTCTTTTATCCTTATAAAAATATACTTTACATTTTCCCAATTTTAGGTACTACTTTAGTTAATAATTTAAAGAATGAAAAGTAAATATCATAATAGATTTTAATAAATAAACTTTTCTTGCCAAATTCAAGTAGAACATATTCATTAAAAATTATGCAGTTTTTCACAAAATTGTAGTACTTTTTCCATTTTATTCTACAATGTGACTTATTATTTATTCATGGTGTTGCAGGAATACTTAATGAGCCACCATCTATCTTCTTTTGACCCATCCAGTATTCAGGTAATTAATGAATGTAAATATTAAGATATACACACATATATACACTTAGAATAATTTTTTTTGGATGAAAATAAAAACTATAAGTTAGTTGACATTTTAAATAAATTATGACTATATAATTATAAAAATATTTAATTATAATTTCTTTGTGTTTTCAAATAGAATAAATTCTTTTATATAAATTTAATTAGACTCTATTCACAATATTAACATTTTGCAAACTATAATATATTTAAAAATCATTATTTATAATAATGAAGTTTACTGAACTTTATAATGATATCTAAAAGTAATTATAGTGATATATCTTATATGATAAACATGTCAACATTTCACTATGATAATATATTAATTGAGCTCAATTTTCATACTATAAAAGATTATAAATGTATTTTTTTTTTTATGAAAACTGGCATATTATCATGCATACAGTTGTTGTATTTTATTATAATTATTGAAAAATAATATATAAAATTATTTTGATCAAGTTATTATATAATATTTTTAATAATAATATAAGTAGTAAGATTGTAATATAGGTTTTCATTTAGTATCTTAACTAAATAGAATTATATAATTATGCGCAGGGAATACCAACCTCTTTCGACAATGTAGGTTGGTTGCAGGATGGGAATCAAAACCATGCTCAGATTTTTGATGCATCTGCTCCTTTAGATCCTCTCAGGTTTCTATTGCATGTGTTTATAATTTTTTTAATTATGACATTTCCTTTTTGATGATTATAATTCTTTTATGGATAACACACACACACACACACACATATATATATATATATATATATATATATATAATATGTATATATATATAATATGTATATATCTAATATAATATAATAATAAGAACATCTGTGTTTCCAACCCACATATAACTTTATACAACATTTGTAATCTATACACAGATAATGAATTATATAAAATATAAAAAAATATATAATATTTTACTGAGCATTTTATTTTCATCATACTTTACATGCATAAAACTCAGACATTATTATACACCTTACCAGTTTCGTTAATCATAACTTTTTTTTATTTAAATTACAAATGCTTAGGTTTTCAATCATGTTTTCACTTTTATTTATCTCTCGTATATTTTTATATTTATTATTATTATTATTATTATATATATATATATATATATATTATTATTATTATGTAGGAAAACGATAAAATAGAAACATTTATGATTATGTTACTTATTGAAGTTCTTATCTTACATTAAAATGATTAATTTATATGTTTTACTAGGATACTGATGTTAATTCGCTCTGATACTTTTAAACTACACTAATTTACTGATATAAGATATATTAAGTAAAAATTAATATTAAAATCAATATATTTTGAAACATTACAACGAGGATAACATCAAATTTTTAAAACAGAAAATTGAACACATATAAAAATAAACAAATGAATGGAGGACAACATTTTTTTACGGAAAAGAAAGAAAAAAATCATATTTGTCAGAACAATTACATCATGACATTGTTGATTACTAATAATAAGATAAGATATGTTCAGGGACTTGTCTTCCACAGTGTATGGTTCATTTTCTCAAGGGACAAGTTCAAATGTTGCTGATCCACGAGGCATAGGAGAATGTCATGTGTCAAATCCAAGTGATGGAACCCTTCAACCATGGCCTCAATGTTACACGTTGTATCCTCATCATCATATTCAACATGACATGGTGGGACCCGACATGCCAGATATGATGCCACATGCACAGGTCAACATCCCAATCACTACCTCACACGTGGAAGCACCCAAGAATGAACCTGTAGAATTTGATCAGTCTAAACAACAATCTCAAACTCATCCTCATACACATCAACATCAGCATCTCAATGCCCAATGACACATACCATCCATCCATCCTTCATAATGGCACATGCAAGCTATTATAGTTCAGATGTTATGTCCCATTCTCATCCTCATTTTTAGTTATAAATGTGAAGCATGTTATAGCTTCACACTTGGTTTGTGTAAGATTAACTAAGTACATGATGATCATATATGATCATATATATGATCATGTGAATAGAAAATGTACTTCAGATCACCCTTGTATTACAAATTAATAATAATAAAAAAAGAATAACTAACACGAAACAACAATTGTTTTTTCTCTATTTCACATTCAAAACAAATTTAATTTTTACTACGGCAAATCCAAATGATTTATTGAACTACACTGCACACAACTTTTAGTGTTATCCTAATTCCAATAAATTAGATTAGGATCCTATTTATTTTAATAAAAGCTAAGAGGATTACGTATAGTTTGAAAGAAGAAGGAGAATGGAGAGTAAAGGGTTAAAAGTAAAGCGTCTAAAAATGTTCTTTAACTTAACTAACCTTTTCTATGTCCAATGTTTATCACTATAAGAAAAATGGTCATTACAAAAGAAATGTTACCTAGTGGAGGTTATTTTACAGAAGTTATAAAATAATCCCACACAGTGACATAATTTGGGATGATTCCCTTAGACGGTGTAAATGACAATAATTGTAGAGATTTTATACATAATCTCTTCAAATTATAATACATTTATTCATTTCTTTTCACTTTTTTTACATCTCTTCCCTCTTATGATTTTACACTTAAATTTTTTTTCCCCAATTTCTAAAACATTTATACGTAAGCAAATCCCAAAATTTTTTACTCTCATTCATCCCTCCTAAATTTCCCACTGTCTACCTCTGTTTCAAAAATTTTCACTCCTTCTTCCTTCTTGAAACTTCCTAGAATCGTCTCATTCCCTTTCTTCCTCTCTTCGTTCTTCCATTTCGCTCTCTACGAGTCTTTAGTTTCGAATTAAGGTTTCATAAAAGTAGCCATGGGAGTCTTCGCATCGTACGCAACTCTGGCGGCGAATGGACAACTAAACAACATTTCGACGATATGGAGTCCTTCGCTGACTCCTCCTATGAACTCCAACGGAAGCTCGTCTAAGCCATTCTCGCCATTGACTCCTCCGACGATGTTGAGTCCTCTTTCTCTCTTGTTATTGTATAGCTTGCTTCGAAATAATGGTTAGGTTTTTGTTATGCTAATTTTTTTTTATGTGAAAAATTCTAGTGCATGAATATGCATATATGCAGAACTTGCATATAACATTTAGTCTCAAATATTTATCGTAATTTTAGTTCTAAAGGCTATAATGAAAATTTTCTCTCTTTAAAGATATGGCGTGTTTTCAAGGTTAATGATGCTTTAGAAAAAAAAAACTATCATTTGCTTCACACGACTTTCCATTAATTCATAAGCACATACACTTTCTTATGTTTATTTCATCAATTGTAGTTGTTTACCCAGGTCGAAATTTGTCCCAAGATAAATATATCATTTAAAACCATTCATCATCAAAAACCAATATATATAGACTAGGCTCCCCATATAACACAAGCCTTAGAAACACAAGTTGGCCAAGAATCAAGGAATGGAACACTATTGATACATGCAAAAATAGAATTCTTTGCATGACCAAAAACTGAAATTACAAAGGAAAAAGTAGAAACTTACTTACTCTAAACAGAGAACTGATCGTGTAGAAGTGGAGATAACTCAGATGTGATCTCCTAGGAACTTCCTGATCATCAAATACGTGATCAAGGGATGAGAAATCTTAGAGAGAAGTGAGAGAAAACAAAGAGAAAGAGTTTTAGAGAGATAGATGACGTTTTAAGTAATGAGACGAGTTTAAGAAATTCTACTTATAATATTGAATTATTTTAAAATAAAATAATCAGTCTCATTATTTTAAAACACATAATAACTATAATACTCTATTTTCTAGGTTCTTACATTGTCCTTAACAAAAAAAAAATGACTTCAAAAATTAGACTTACTAGAGAACAAGTGAGGATAGGACTCTCTCATGACTCTCTCTAATTCCCATGTCCTTTTATCCCAAACAACTTTGACTAGACTAATGTTCTTCCCTCTAAGTTGCTTTGTCTCGCTCTCCATAATCGTGACATATTTAACTTGCACATCCTCCAATTGAAGCACATGAGAGGAGTTAGACACATACTTCCTAAACTGTGAAACGTGAAACATTGGATGAAGATTCGCCAACTGAGGAGGCATGGTTGTCTCATGCCAATGGCCCTACTCGCCTCAAGATTTGATAAGAACCAATGAACCTAGGAGACAACTTTCTAGAATGAATGACTCTGCCTACACAAGTAGTATGAGTCACTATAAGGAAAACATGGTCCCCATCTAAAAACTCCAAACTCCGTCTTTGATCATCGTAGGACTTCTACCTACTCTAAGATGCCTTCATCCTCTCCTGTATAAGTTTCACCTTCTCTATGGTTTATTGAATCAACTCAGGCCCAATCAACACTAACTCTCCCTCCTGAAACCAACACAGAGACGTCCAACATTTTCTATCATACAATGCTTCAAACGGTGTCATACCAATGCTAGCTTGTAAACTGTTATTGTAGGTGAACTCAAACAAAGGTAACACCTCATCCTAGACTCCCAAGTGATCCAATGCACACATCCTCGACAAATTCTCTAAAGACTAGATTGTTCTCTCAGACTGACCTTCCGTCTTTGGATGATATGTACAACTCATTTATAACCTGCTGCCCAACTCACTCTATAGAGACTGCCAAAACCTGGATGTAAACTGTGGATCTCTATCTAACACTATGCTTGATGATACCCCATGCAGCCTCACTATCTCTCTAATATACAACTATGCAAGCTTTGCCATAGATATCCTCAGATTCATCGCCAAGAAATGAGCACTCTTGGTTAACGTGTCCATTACAACCCAAATAACATCATGACCTCTAATTGTTTGTAGAAAATGGGTAACAAAGTCCATGACTATGCTATCTCATTTCCACTAAGGGACATCCAACTGCTGCTACAAACCACCAGGTCACTGATGCTCCACCTTATCTCTTTGACAGGTCAAACAAGAAGAAACAAACTATGCCACATCTCTTTTTTTCATCTTAGACCACTAGAAAGACTCCTTGAGATCCTGATACATTTTAGTCATGCCAGGATGCATGCTAAAATGAATTTAATGTCCCTCCTTAAGGATCAATCTCTTCAACTCCACATTAGTAGGAACACAAACCTTGCATATGAATCTAAAAGTACCATCAACCCCTAATGTAACTCTCTACTACTATGTTGTTAAGACTCCGGCAAGTGTACCGAATCATATCAAGTAATAAAGATGGTAAGACCAAGTATCGTTTCGCTAGAGACTCCCGGCCTAAACAGTCACTACAAGAAAAAAGTGTATTACATACAGCAAAAATCCGTATATAAGACCCAAAATCCGTATATATTTTGTTTTTATATATGGATTACATACGGACAAAAATCCGTATATAATACCATCGTAGCTAAGTTTACATACGGATTTATCCGTATATAAATTATATCCGTAAATTATATACGGATTTATCCGTATATAAGTTATATACGGAAATATCCGTATATAAATTATATACGAAAATATCCGTATATAACTTATATACGGAAATTATATACGGATATTTCCGTATATAACTTATATACGGATAAATCCGTATATAATTTCCGTATATAACTTATATACAGATATTTCCGTATATAACTTATATACGGAAATTATATACGGATATATCCGTATATAATGGTTTAACAAGAGCTAAATAAATTCTCTGCATATAGCAGTTCCCCATGCACAATATACAAGCAGACCTGGACATTATAGTGAACATTCAGCATTGTTA